TTTTAATAAATAAATAGTTGTGTCATTATTATAATTTTTAAATATAATAAATATTTATTAAGTCATCCGGTTCGACCCCGGTCGAATCATCAAACCACTAATCCCTCATTCTTTCGGTTCATTGACCAGTCCGATTTTAAAAGCCTTCGACTATTTTTTATGTTCGGAATCGGCACAGAATAATTTATCCTGAATTGGAGAACTGCAATTACAATTATTTTTCTTGGAATTAAATGAAGCATAATTATGGGTACAAACATATGCAAATCGGCAAAAGGGATATATTTGCTATTACAGGTAATGGCAGTTTCGTAAATTGCATCAGTCCCACCGGCTTATCTTCTGTTTGAAAAAAAAAATCGACTCGCACAGCACTGTTCCAGTATCCGCTTCTGAAAAGGCTGAAGTGAGAGCAGTGAGGAGTGGACTTCGCCGGCGGGAAACGAGGTTTCCGGCGTGGTAGGTCCGCGTTAAAGGCTTGATCTCGTAATCTTAGTATCTTGATCCCTGAGTAAAGAAATTCGTTTGCTTAGAAAGGGTTTCGATCATGGAAGGTTTTTCTTGGCATTTGAATCGATCGGAGCATCTGGTTGCGGGGCACTAGCTCTTTAATCTTACGCTGCGGCGGTATGATTGTGTTAACTCATCCTCGTTTTTCATTTCTGTAGATTCTACGTTTGTCGATCTTTTCTAAAGTCGCCGGGTTTTCGCCATGGGCGTTTCGCTTTTGTATGAGATGTTTTTATTGGCTCCGGATCTCCATATTTAAATAGAAATCTATTAAGATCTTTGTGAATAGTGTAGCCCTTTATCTTAGATCTAGTTTGACAGGCTTTTTAGATTCTCTATCACTTTGCTGATGTGTTGATTGTGCGGTTCTTGCAAGTTGCGTTCTGTAGCGGAGTCTGGAAAGAGTTAATAGAACAACGACAAATTGGTTGTTTTACCTATGTTTGTCTATGGATTTTATATTTCACGGTGTTTACCTGACGAACAATTTTGATTCGTTGCAGAAGCTAATTTGTTGCTGCTTCTGAGTTACATTGTATAATGGATGCCGCCGACGGAGTTGAAATGGAGCTCTCCAACGGGGATTTTGAGAAAGCTCCGATTGCTATTATGGTCGGATCCTATGGAAATAAAGATAATAAAATCACCAAAAATGGCACAGATGAGTTGGAAGAGAATGGGGCTGACGCCAAACAACCAAACGAAACTTTGGAAGTTCAATTACAAGCTAGAGGCGCTAATGGTTCTGAATTGGTGGTTGAAGTCTCTTCTGCTATGTCTGAAAATAAAGTTTCAATTCTTTCAACGGTACGCCGTTGGAACCTTTTCCGATATCCATTATAGGAACTCTTAAGCTGTCTATGAAATGAACTCTTTGGTTTGCAGAAAGCTGGAACTGATCAAGATGATAATTTGGAAAAAAGGAAGGCCCAAAAACTTAGCAAGGATGGAGCAGGTAGGAATGATGCGGCAGTTAATTACAAGAACCCAAAGGCCGGCCTTTCACAGAGCCTTTCTTTTCCGGCTAAGAGCTTTTCTGCATTTGACCCAAGGAAGAGTACAACAGCTGTGAAGCAGACAAATGTAGATCTGAATAATCTCAGTGCAAATAATTCAGAAATTGCTTCTAGTGGTCTGTTCGATTAATCTTAAATAATTCCTCACTGTGCATTTATCTTATTCTGAACTTTATTATGTTGACTAATTACAGGTGGACCAACTGCTAGTAAGTTGAGTTTTAAATCTGCAGGAAGTGCGCAACAATCATTGGTATTTCTCTCAAAAGGATGATGACAAACTTCTCTTTTTTCCTAACATATTTCCTGGTATTGATGCTGTCCAAATTGTGTGTTTGTCTTCAGCCTGTTGATGCTGGTTCAGTGGATGACTATACTTCTTCTGCAGCCCAGTAAGTTTTTAGTTCTATTTCTGATCTCCTTTTTACTTTTTTTTTCTTTTAGTTCATGAGCAGAAATTATTAAATTTTCTGGATGTTTATCCTTCCATTTTGAAAATGCTTAATTCCACTTGGTTTATGCTCTCATTGAACATATCCATGCATGAGAAAAGTAATCTATTTAAGCATTTTCTTCCCCAATTTTCAAATTTGCATCAAGCTTGAATTTTAACAAATAAAAAAATTTGTAGTTAAGTTTAGGGGCAGTTAATTGTTATAATTGATCGAATTAGCCCGCAATTTGATAAAATCTATGCTACCTACTTGTTTGCCCATAACTATTATGTCCGTTTTCTTCATTATGTTTGCAACTATTAACACCTCATAGCAGGTCATATGGTGGCTCATGAAAGCCTTTGTCAAGTGTAGTTCAACTTGGTTATGTTTTTATCGCATTTTCAATACAGTCATACTTCTCACACGGAAGTTCAGCGAAGGAGTGCTTCAGGATTTTCTTTCAGGTTGGATGAGCGTGCAGAGAAAAGGAAGGAGGTTTGCCAGTTTAAATGACTTTGGATGATCCTTTTTATTTTATGTTATTTTATGTACAGGTATTAATGCCTAATGGTGTTAGTTCCTCAGTTTTTCATGAAGCTGGAAGAGAAGACCCATGCAAAAGAATTGGAAAAGAACAACATGCAGGCAAAGTCTATGGTAAGGTGCTATATGTATGAATGTTTTTCTCCTACTGCAATCCTTTATTGGAAATTTTAGGTTCTGAAAAATAATTATAGGAGACCCAAGAGGCCGAAATCAGGCAGTTGAGGAAAAGTTTGACCTTTAAGGCTACACCGATGCCGAGTTTTTATCAAGAACCTATTCCTCCAAAAGTTGAATTGAAGAAGGTAATTTTCTCTCTTGCTAAGGGCTTGTTCATCTTTGCGAAGGAGCATTCTGTCACAAATTCTTATACACCATCTTGTAACAAAGGAATGCAGAGGAAAATCAAATAGTGTTTTTGATTTGTAGTTATTTTAAGAAGAAATTTATGTTCACGTTGTTTAGTCAATAATTATCACTTTTGGAAAGTATTTACATATTGAGTTTCAACTGTTTAGTTTGTTTTTGTAGGGTTTGCATGCTTTTTTAAAAGTTTATATGCAGAATTTTCATCCAAAAAAGGCTTTACGCTATTATATTTTATGCCTCTAGAAATTTTCTCGTAGAATTACGTGATATTCAATGATGAGAGGTTTCTTCCTCATGGAACTTGTATCAAGGTTTTACATGGAATTTTATATTGCAAGGGCTTCTGCTTCCCTTAAGGTAGTGATTAATATGTTTTAATGGTATCATTTATCATGGCATCTTACATATGAAACCGTCTGAAGAAGAAGACTAAAGCACTCTTGAGTTCCTATTGATGGCTCAATCAATTTGTTTTGTTCAACCACAATAATTTGATGTAACGAACAGAAATATCCACACATACAAAAACCAAAAGAAAAATTAAGGAACGGAAAAGATGGAATGGAAACTAAGACATCACAGTTCCTATCATTGCCTCCTCCACTTTCTACCCCATTGTCGTTCAATGCAAATTATTATTCAGCATTTTGCATTTGTGATTCCAAGGCAATGGGGGTGACCTTAGTTGGATGGCACTCTCAAGTACTGTTGAGATGGATAAAAATCATGTAATATAATGTTATGGAACTTGGCAATGATGTTAGATGCATGATGACTGTGTAAATTTGGCTTGAAGGGATGAGGACATATGGTCGCGAAGACTGGTGGTGGCGGTGGATTTCGATGAAAGGTTTTAGACCAAGTGTACTCTACTCTTTTGCCAACATATAGTTTAATACTAGTAATAACCTATAACTAAGATGATATGATAATGAAAAGTAAAGGAAAAGAAACCACACAAATATTACATGCATGTATGGATAGACAACCATTTTCAAGAAAATCAACCCAAATGGCTTAAAATTAGTTGTAATAAATCATACATTTTTATGGTAGATTAGATATATAGAGTTTTAAACTTCATGTTTTTTATTAAATAATTTTCTGTTAACAAATGCGTTTAAATGTTGACACAATTTCTTTTTTTTTTCAACTTTTCTTTAATGAATTTGCGAGTCAAGAACCAAGAATTAAAAATAAAATTGCCTTTAAAAAAAAAAAATTTAATTTCAATTTGATTTATGAAAATAACTTCATTCAGAAGCTTTCTCAATTATTTAATTAACTACAATAACCATGATTTGTTTTTTTTCACATTTATGGATAGGTTTAATTTCAATTAGAAATATAGATTCATATGCTAGTAGATTTAGTTTAAATTAGAAGTTGTGATACACAATCTAAGCTAGATTTTGATTTTAATTGCAATTTAGGTTCAGATATGATCATTGGTTCAATTTTAAATTGAAATTCAATTTGTTATTTAGTCTTAAATTCAAAATTCAGTTCACATTCAAATTTTATTTTAGGCTCAACTCTGAATCTTGCTCAAGAAGAAGTTCATTTTCGTTAATAGGTTCTGAAGTAGGATTGTATCAAATTCAACAACATCAAAGAAATCCATTAGTAATTGTAATATTCATCTAATTCTTCTTTTAAAGGGTATTCATGAATTATAGTTTCTTCAATAAAATCATATTTAATTATGAATGATTCTTGTGTCAATGTATGCTTGCCTAAATTAACAGAAGATGCTATATTTTTCTTTAGGGAATTATAAATCTATCTAATTGCCCTAGCACACAGGTTATAGTCTATCTTAATAATCAGTGATCTAGTTGGTGAATTATAGTTTAATTCTTTCCTAATTTATCACCCAAAACCTTTAAAGAAATAGATATTGACAATAAAGTAATCTAAAAAAATGACGTTTAGTTATGCCACTCATAATTTTATTTTAATATTCAGAAACACCATGGATGTTTAAATTTTTGATGCCATTGATCCTTGTATTTATGAATGACATATATTGCTTTTTAATTTTATGTTTTAGATCATCTTATGTAGGTTTTGTTTCACTTGCAACTCTTTGACAAAACGACTGTGTATGTCTTATTAGTTTATTTAGGCAAATTTAACTCTTTTTGAATCAATGAAATGATATCGTTCAAAGAAATATTTTAAATTGTCAATTTAGTTTGAAAACTCTCTAATGTAAAACTCCAATCAAAATTAGGAAAATAATTTTTATCATAATACTAATGTTCTCATGTAGAATTATATCTACTTGATTTTCTTTATGTTGCATCTTTTGTTGTTTTATTAATTGATCCAATTATTATCGCCACTTCTAGTTGACATGACGATACAATCATATACTCTATTATCAAATTTGCTGAAGAACGTATCAGGTTCTAGGTTCACTTAGGTAAACCTAGGATGGAATGCATAAAAGCATGTACAAAGAACAAAATTTGCAGTTTGATAACTTTAGTTTTCGGCTACTTTTATTCTTTTTTTATATGAAATTGGAAAATACATAAAACTTTCACTTAACAATAATTTAAAGTTTGCTAAAATCTAAAAGTAGCAAGAAAGTCTGTGATCAAATGAAAGCCATGAAACGAATGAAATTCATACCACAATGAGAGCATCTAGATAGTATCAAACGTGACCACATCTCGATCACACACATATCAATAACTAAAAAATAGGAAAGAGAGCTAAAAGAAAGAAATCAATATAGTGTTAATCCAGGTCTCTCCTTGATATAAGGAGAATACTTTCATCAAAAGTAGTTATGAGGACTTACTCTGTAATCAAATAATGTACATGAAACCACACAAGTTTGAGAGGAAGCCAAAATTATATTGAACCAAATGAATTTTTACATATTGTAGGAGTCTTATTTATAGCTTAAAAACCCTACATTTAATTCTCTTTGAATCATAGAATTTGACCTAAGATTAGTAGTTTCAATTTCAGGCATCATAAATTCCATCTAAAACAAGCTTTCGTATTCATCTAATCAATGAGTATTAGATTGTTACTTCAGTACAGAGATGCATGCAATCAGGGATTTGCCAAATCATAACTATAATAAATGTTAATAATATAAGGAAACTAGGCAACCCCATACGAGTAAATAAAGTATCTTGGCCATACATAGAAAACACTGACATCATAGTTTGGATATTGGTTGCTAGCAAATAAGGAATCAACAGTTGAATACAAGCTACAATGCCAATAACGGACAGACTCTAACGTATATGTGCTGTAAAAGGGAATTGGAAACGAATATCCTAGGGAATTAGATGAGGATAGAGTCAAAATAGCTTCCAGTAGCAAACTAAACTCATCAAGATAATCAAATTATTAGAGAGCATATCCCATTTTTATAGGCACTGTTACAGCGGGCATGTTTATAGTGAAGTGAACTAAAAATAAAAAATAAAAACAACTTGAGCAACTTGCACACAATTTGCATATCCGATAAATGCGGTTTCTCCTATATGCGTTAATAAAAATCGTGATAAAAGATGAAATCCTACACAATTAACATATATAATTTAGAAGTTAAGATGGATGAAAACAATACATATTTTTTGGCATGCAAGGCAAACGATTTCAATTTTGGTCTAGTGTTCAAAGTTTGAGTGGTCTTGATGATTTTGGTTTTAATATTTTATTATTATTATTCATTAGATAGATGGATGAGTATAATATTTTAACTTTATAAATCAATTTATAATTAATAATTGCATTCTGAAATAATATTACCTCTTATTTGTTTTTGTTATATGTATTTATAGCCTTTATATATTATAAAATGTTGCTTCTCTTCGTGGTGGCTATCTTTTCATTAATCTCTAGTGACTTAGATTGAAATTTAAGGTATAGGGACTCAATGAAAACTTAAAAACATGTTTGGAACCTAAAAAAAAACCTAAAATGTCTTTTCAAAAATTTGAAGTAAAAAAATTTATTTTTAACCAATCAGAATGAAACTAACATTAGGTGTGAATGATTTAAGTTTGTTCACAAGAGTTGGAGAGATCATGCGTCAAGATTTTGAGAGTATGAGTTGGGAAGTTTCACATATGGATTACTTTACAAGGCGGCAAAGAGAAAGCCATAATGCGAAGAGAGGCATATTGTTTAAAGTGGTTCAGTTGAATGATCTACGTCGACTGTGGAGTTGCCCGAGGGGAGATTTTTACTATCCGAGAGTAGTAGAGTACAAACATGCTAAAATGTTGCATGATATTCTTCCAAGAGAAATAAGGTGGAGGGAGATTATGTTAGTGAGATAGTTATAGATTAAGAGACAAGTAACAGAGAAGATTCTTGGTCCAAGTTGAAAGAAGAATGCAGAAGAGTCCTCTCAATGAGCTTATGTCTTGATATTTTTAGAGTTGATCCTACTCAGAGCACGAGCCAAGTCATAAGGACGGTTGAGCAAAGGGATAGGAGGAATACGCTGAAGGGATGGCATTCTATATTGAATTAAATGGGCAAACTAATCAAAGTGCTTAGGTGAAAGCTAAAATTCTTGTCATGTTCATAAAAAATGGTGCAATAACTGGACATGTACTGAAATCTTTGAAATGCCTTGATAAAATCTATAGGAAACTCATAGGAATAATAATGACAATTAATGTTATTGGAGTTCCGCTGTTGAGTGGAAGGTTAAGAGAAATTAAGAATTGTCAAGATTATATGTGAACTGCTGAGATGATCCCTCTTCAAAGAGGTCATTCCTAGAGGAATTCTCGGATGTCTCATTCATTGAAATGAGATGTTTCTATTTAAAGCTAATCTTCCCATAATGGAGGAGATTGATTCTGAGTTTTCAATAGATTTTCAAGGCTATAGAAGAAGTTAAACTTCATGAGATAATGTTTATCGTAGATGTAGGCACTCCAACATGCGTTTATCTGGTGGATAAATCCTTTATATTGGGATGAGGGGAGATTTTGTGACTTTGCTTCTATGTCAGGTAAGATAGATCTAGCAAGAACCCAGATAAAATAATACAGCTCAAAGAATAATTTAAGAATTGCTTCAAATTAGCTATGCTCAAAATCAAATTTATTTTTCCGCTCATCTTATTCAATGATTCTTTAATACCTTCCACTTATCCTAATAAATATTTGAACGGATTATCAATCTATTTATCTTTACTAGTTAATAAATCACTTCTGAGTTTCTGGATTTTTGAGAGTGATTTGGTAGTTGAACAATCAACCTTTTCGAGGGCAACATGATGAATATTAAGAATGAATTACAAATTCCCAAAACCTCTATAGATGGTGCTGTGAGGTTATTAAGGAACAAATTCTGAAGGGTTTGATGTCATATGTTTTATGATTGATTTTTCTTTTCAAAACAACAAGGGTATATTAGGGCCTGTTTGTAATCACTTTTATTTTTTATTATTTATTTTTGTTTTCTAAAAATAAGATTGTTTATTGTATGTCTAATTATTTTTTAAAACAAATTAAGCTATTTTTAAAAACACTCAATTAAAAACAACTATCACTATCGGTCACCGCTATCGTTACTTCTAACGACTATCACCGCTATCACCACCTCATTGATTATTGTTGTTGCTCATCGGCGATAGTTGCACCATTGCATAAATCAATTAATTGGACAACAAGAGCAACAACAACAACATCATGTCTTTATCCCACTACATGGGGTTGGCCATATGAATCCTTTTTCTCCATTGTCTCTGGTTAAGAGTCAAATTCTCATTTAAATCTAATAAAAAAATATCATTTATAATATTTTATAACCAAGTCTTTTTAGGTACTTTTACCTTTTTTTAATATTAAGCCAAATTTAATACATCTATTCTCTTATCCAAGTCATCGGAAGGCCGCCGTTTTATGTGACCAAACCATCTAAGGCGACACTCTCTAATCTTATCTTCCATTGAAGCTACTCCAACCTATTCACGTATATGCTCGTTTTGTATCCTATCTCTAAAAGTGAAGCCACTCATCCACCTGAGCATCCTCATATATGCAACACTTAACTTAATATTATGCTTCCCTTTTAATGGCCAAAATCAACTAATTTGACAATCAATAAAAATAAAAATAAAATTTTTAAAATACCCCAAATAGCCTCTTGGCTAATGACTCGTCTGTTTTCCATTCTTTTTGAATGAATTCAGCATTTTTCTCCAAATGAAGTAGTAAGAAAAGAGGACCCCAATTATTCATTTGGCATCTTAAGACACTAGCATGTCAACTTTGAAATGTTTATGTTCATTTTTTTCCATTATGATGATAATTTCCTGTTTATCCTCCTAGAAAATTATCACAATTATATTTGTGTATATGCTCTCCTTTCTGCTGCTTGTATCTTTTGCTTAGCTAACCTTGATAATGCTAAACTTGAGAATCCTTCTTATTTTCCGCATCAATGCATCATATAATCATCACTTTGAGTGCTTCCTTTTCATAATTCTTTATCTCGTTAAGCTTATCAGTTGAGTTCTTTTTTTCACAATTTTCTCCTTGTCGTATCTGCCGATCTATTTTTCTCGATTTAATCTCCTCTTCCCCATGATTTTATGGTCCTCTTTTGTTCACTTCTGTTCTTTAACAGATCCCTCCAACAAGAGCCCGATCCCCGAAGCTTGGAAGACACAAGTCCTCCACCGCAGCTAACAACTCACAAGTTGATCACTCAATTCAAAGTTCAGAGACCCAGCCCAGCTTAGTCAAGCAAAACGGGGAAGCTGAAACTGATACCGCACTTTCCAAAATAAGTACTTCCCACAAATCACATTCAAAACTACCATCCATAAAATCTGCACTGACTAAACCTGAAGCAAAACTTGCCGGTTCAAAGACCAGAGCTTCAAACCTGAAGCAAAGGATTGATAAAGCAAAGGTGAAAGAAAATGAACAGAGTGGTGATTCTTCCCAAGACGTTTCAGAAAGCCTATCTGAGGTTCTCACTGCATCAGAACCTCTGGCTACTAATCCTGGTGAAGTTCCTATCGAAGCTTTACAAATTTGAATCGAGAGTCATTTTTCTTAGTACTAGTTTGTGCAGATTTGTGAATAGCTGCAATATATTATATTACCAATTAAGAATTGTATAATTGCTTGTATTGCCACATGGATTTCATTGTCCTTTCTACTGGTAGAGAGTCATCGTCTTCCTGTTTTTTTCTGGACGTGTTGAGTATCCATGTATTGTATATTATTTGATTTGTCTGTTATATATACTTCTGTGCTGACTGCCTATTTTTGTTGCTCGGTAATTCTTGCCTTGGTTTGCCCTCTCTATTTTTGTTGGTTTCATTGATAGAATAAGCTGATGGTTTAGGATTGGACGTGTGGTTTGGTGGCATCTGTGGCTCAGGACTTCAGGTTGAGGATTTTACCAAATTTTATTTGTCATTTATGCTTCGTCTGGTACGACTTTTTTACTGCTTCTTTAGACAGTATTCTGGTACTAAAAATTTAATTTTTGTACTAAAACACTGTTTTAAAAAGCAGTAAGAAAGTCGTCCCAGACGAAGCCTTAGTCAGGTGAGAAATCATTATCATTATTAGTATCTTTATCCGAAGTATTGTCTGTTGATTTCATGAATCTCATCATCTTCTTTCTAGTTGGAGATTTAGGTTTTGTTTGGACGGATTTATTACTGCTTCTTAAATCAGTTTTTTAATTAAAAATTTTAAATTTTTTATATTTAAGGCTGCTTTAAGAAGCAATAAAAAAGCTTGTCCCAAACACATGTTAATATAGCTTTCCACTGCATCTGCTGGCTTCTGTTTATTTGAATAATAAGAAGAGCAGTTTTGAAGTGTTTGGTGTGACAGCTTTGTAATGCCTCTTCAAAATTTATATTTGTTGGAACTTGAATTTTACTTATATATTTCTTTTTAATTTATGACTTAAATACATATTTTCATAATTATAAAAAATAATAATTGAAGCTGAATGATGAAAGGGCCTACTAAATTTTGAAGCAACTTAAAGATTTTGTCCAAATTTTTTACTTTGCAAGCAAAAAGCAGAATCCAAAATAGGTTCCATGCATTCTTTTGCCAATAATTTATCACTCTATTTACTTTAATGATTTATTACATATTCATTGACAATATTCCTTTGGCACATTCATCATAAAATAAAGTAAATAAATAAAAACAATTACATGTATTTTCCTTGCTAACATTCAACTAGCAACTAATTTAGTTTGTTACAAAAATTCTTATAATTAAATGGGCTTCTTATTCATGAAATATGAAGTTCTACAAATTATTTTCTTTTCATATTTTGTGTGTAGGGGCATATTCTTTATATCAAATTTTACCTTTATGATTATGGGAGCTTCATTTGATCTAATTCAATCATTGAGAATTGATATATCATTGAAAATCATACTTATCGGGCATAAATCTTGAGGCATATTTAAATTGAAAGCTTCTAAAATTAAATTAGGATAATTTGAACTTTGAGTACAATAAACTTATAGTTGAACTAAACAATCTCAACGAGGCAAATCCAAAGACATAAAAAATGGTCAATTCTGAACCCAAATGAGCCCAAATTAAAGGACTGTAGTGTAATTAAGAACTTTTGAGCATTGATTGGATGACCAAATGACATTCAAATTTAGCATGCTTATAGTTGAATAAAGTGTCTTGATGAGAGGGATCCAACGAGCGCAAGATTGCTTAATTTCAACAACATTAAGATACTTAAATGCCAAATAAATGCTTTATATTTGAGGGAATCAATATGCGCCCGATGGAGTATTTTGGATTTTCTCCATATTTATGAGTCATGCCACTCTCAGAAGTATATAAACAAGTCATCACTCTCTACATGAAGAACGGAGGAAAAACCTAAGAGCTAGAGCTTGAATTTTGGCTTGAGATTTATGAGAGCTTTGAGTGTCTAAGATCCCTGAGTACCACCCAAACACCACTTCCATACCATTGTTCTGATTGTCACCTTCAATCATTCATCGGTATGCTATTACGGTAATTCGACATCTATTGTCCGTCGTCTACGATCCTTAAACCACCATCGCTCGACCATGTTTCTTGGACCACCGTCGCTTAACTACAGTCCTCAAACCACTGTCGATCGACTATAGCCCGCAAATTGTCATTACCAGACTACATCCCTCGAACTGCCATCGTCCTACCACCAACCTCAAACCATTGTCGCTTGATTAAGGCTCTCAGACCTAGGGGTGTCAATTCGGGTCGACAGGTCGGGTTTGGGTAGAACCCGAGTTGACTCGGTTCTAAACGGGTCAACTTGAACCCAACCCGTTTTTGTAAGCGGATCGGCTATCTCAACATGGACCCGACTTGCGCGGGTTGCTGGGTTGACACGACCTGACCCGGTTAGTTAAACTCTAAGCGACAACCGGCAGCGGACGCGGCAACAACAAGCGAGCAGCGGCAGGGCGCAGGCGGCAGCGGCACTGCCATGCGGCACACGAGTGCGAAGCGACGCGACTGAACCTGAAGCGGGCCTTGCCACGCTGGCATGCGAGCGGCTAAGACGAACCGAGCTGGCACGCGAACTGAGCTGCGGAGCACTGGCAGCATGTCACGCGTCACGATTCCCGAAAGGCGAAGCGACGCGACGTGACTTGACGCGTCGGGCAGTCGAGCCGTCGATGCGGGCAGCAGGGCAAGGATCATTTTTAGGTCAATTTCGGGTCACTTTCGGGTTCCCGGGTCAACCCGAACCTGACCCGATCTTTAAAACGAGTCAGTTTATTGAACCCGAACCCGACCAATTTCACAAATGGGTTGACCCAAACATGAATTTTTTTTGGGTCGGGTCAGGGTCGAGTTTCGGATCGGGTCAAAAATTGACACCCCTACTCATACCATCATTGCCTGACTATGATCATTAGACCACCATCGTCCCGCTATATTCCTTTTGACCATTATTACATGACTATAGTCCCTATAACCTCCGCCGCCCACCAATTATGGTCCTTCCGACCACCATCACATGCTCATAGTCCCTTCAATCTTTGTCACACGTCAACTACGCTTCTCATATCACCATTGTTGACCTATTATGATCTTTTGACTATTTTCACCCAACCATGATCCTAGTGTGATGCACTATGATCTAGTGAAAAGATTGAATGTCTAAACCTATATTTTAACTCAAGCACAAATTTGAATAAACCAAAGTTATCAAATCCAAAATAATAATACCAATATAAACATCATTTTATTTTTAGTTTTTCAAATTTTATATATAATAATCCAGTTCACATAAATTCTATAAATCAAAATAATTAAAATTGGATTTTGAAATACCTCACTAGTTGACTCAGACGACCTTATCCTTATCCTGCTATACTTTATTGGGCCTTTCTTTTTTCTTGAAATATCAAAAAGTATCACAGTGTGAGCATAACTTGTAATAGCCCATATTCAACAATCAGATAATATTCTATGAGTTATTATAAGTCCAATTTGCAAACCGTTTTTGCCATAACATAAAAAATTATTGTGCTTTAATTATAGTTTTTTTTTTTTTAATAATTTTATGGGCAGTTTAGATATGAAAACAAGAAGCTTCTTATTTAATTATAATTCCTTAAGAAATTAACATATGCTAGTACAAATAAGTTTTCTAAGTCCGTTAGATGTATGTTTTGCAAATTGATTTCACTACTAAAGTATCTATAAAACCACTAACTAAATCATGATCGAACAAATATGCATTCTAAATTATATTAATTATTTGAATTCTAGAACAGTGGGTGTTCCATCTTGGACCACCTTTGTCTGGTTACAATCTTCAGACCCACATCCCATGTGTACGTTTTTTGGCCAATGTCCCTTACATTTTTTGGCCATAGCCCCCTGACTATGATCCTTAGACCACTATCATAGGACTACAATCCGTGGAACACTGCTGTTTAAATATAGTCATTAATCTATTATTGCTCATCTACAATTCTCGAGCCACCGTTTCCCTACTATAGTCTTTTGATCATCATCACCCAACAATATTTCTTAAATCATCATTACCTAATCGTATTCCTATGACCACCGTCGCTTGACTATGATCTTCTAACAACCATCATCTACCAACAATAGTCCTCCAATCATCATTACTCAAATACAATCCTCCAGCCATCATCGCTCGACTATAGTGATCTATCCACAGTAGTCTCACTGCGTTCTTTCAACCCTCGTCGTCAGATTATAGTTATTTGGATTATTGTTGCCCAAATACAATCTTCTAACCTCCTTCAGTCGGCTACTGTCATACAACCAACATCTCATAACTACACTCCTTCGATCACCATCGCTTGAATACGATCCACCATCCTATAATCTTTTGATCATTATCGCATGGCTACTCTGACGCCTACTCCACCTATTATCGCTAATAATGCTAACACATGATGTCACTTACAAGATCGATGAATGTCGTAACATTAACTCTAACTCCCAACTTCAACACTTAGATTTATGTTGTATTTCTGCCATTAGGCTTTTCCTACTTCAACCAAGCAATATGTTCTTTACAATGTATCAATTCCCTCCCTCGAGGAAGGGCATCATTTATAATCGATAACAAATAATAATGTAATCATTTTAACTAAGTCATATTCTTAGATTTTTCATATAAAAAGTATGATGTTTCTTACAAGTCCTATGCTACTCACTTATGTGTGTGCGCTGAATCTTCACGCAAACTATAAAATTAGGACGTTAAACTATCTATCTCTACCGCAGGAATATTCCGACGTGCAACAAGAACAAATAAAAAAAATGCAACGTGATATATATCAAATTGATAGTTATATCATATTGCTAATACAACAAATTTTACTATAATTAAGTGGTGTAGATTTAACAACACTTTAATTTTTATTATTATTTCTCGAAATAAGAAATAAAACCAAATCAAATACTTTATATCATAATATTACATTAGAAAATAACATATTGAACAAAACAACCCCTTAATTCCATTTAATTTTTTTGCTAGGTTAATTTAAATATCACTATGGTGGTGTAATAGTTCCTACAATATATCAAAATTCATATAGGCTAAAATTCCATGTTTATTTTATATATTGCATAAATATATTAAATAATTAATAAAATAATATTTCAGAATTATTCATTATATAGATTAAGTTGTAAGATAAAATATTTAGGTGATAAATATTTTTCGAAGTTTATAATTATTATCCTCAATGATGCTCCAACTTTCAAATGTTTATATAAATTAATTATAGTCATCTAAAACAGCGAAGGGTCCATAGCTCAGTGGTAGAGCAATTGACTGCAGATCAATAGGTCACCGGTTCGAACCCGGTTGGGCCCTTGTTCATTTAATATTTTTTTAATTTCTTTGTTATTATATGAATAAGAATATGATTTTTTGGTCTGCACAGTTCAATCAAAGCTTTTCTTTTCAACATATTTTTCGAATTGTCTATAATTACTTATTTTTAATTTTTTATTTTTGGAATCTTAAAGTCTGCTATAAGCTGTTTGATTATTTGCCTATTTTTTATTATTAAATACTGCTCTTTCACCTATATATAAAAAAAATGAAAATCTTGCATAGTCTTTGTTATTTCTTGTTTGTTTCATTAGGTATTTTGTCATTATGCCCTGCATAGCTGAAAATTAACATGTAAATCATAATGTTTGGCCTTAACATAAATTAGTCGTGTCGAGCTCTAGTAACTCCTACCTTGAGCTTGATTAATTAATCGAGCTTGAGCTCAAATTTTATTCTACGAGTTCGAGTTGGCTCAGGAGCTTATGAAAGAAAGAAAATAATTATGATTCCAGACATTATTAGATTATAATGATAAAATGGATTAGGAATTAAAATAATAATACTAATAAAGAATCACTTAATATAAGAAAATAAGATATTATTTTTTAAATACTTTTTATAGGGTTATACTTAAAATCTTAAAATCCTAAATGCTAATATATTTTAAGTGCAATTTATAATAATATTTTTTAAACTAACCGGTTCGGGAGCTAACAAGTTGAGTCTGGCTCAAGCTTGACTCGTTAGATCATCGAGCTTGGGTCACGATCCATTTATCGAGCCATGCCTAAAATGACTCGTAAGTTGGCTTGACTCATTTACACCCCTACATTATCTCATTCACTAATATGTTAATTAAAGCTTTTAGCACTTTTTGCTCATTACCTTTATTCTGCTCGTCTCCTTTTTTTTTCAAAATTTATTTTTCACTATTTTGATGTTTGTCATTAAATATTTCAATAGTAGAAATTACCTCATTAAATAGGAGTGTTTATGATCAATGAAGAAAACAAAGAAACAGGATCAATCATTTCATGGGTCCCAAAATAAAGATAATTTGATGCTATGATTAATATAGAATGCTTGCATATGCATATTAACCGACGGAGCACACTCTCTAATGATGCTGGCTGGGGATGCAATGTACTCGTGCACGTAAAAGAAATAGGTTATAAGAAAAGAAATGAAAAATGAGCACCTTCATTGAAACTAAATTAGATGATAGTTCATATGACGGTTATTATTATTTATGAGAAAGAATAAAGAATAAAAATATTGTATATACATAATATTGAAAATTTTAAAATGAAATGAATCTAAATAAAATTACTTTATAATATGAATTAAAATGCTCATGCATATTATTCCAATTATCATAGATTATTGTAATTTAAAAATATATTTTACTCACTGAGTTGTGACATACTTTTAATTGCTCTAATATTTTCAATTATAAAATAATATAATCAAAATGAATAGAAAAGATGAAAATGTGTATCGTAAATATGATATACATAATGAAAGTTATTTAATTCATTGTATATCAATTCATATTTCTTTTGAGGTTTTAGTGACTTTTAAATTTATTGAGATAGTTTTCGATTAATTAAAAATTTCAATTAACTGTCCAACAACCGTATGTTCCTACCTCGTTAATTCGAACATCCAGGCCTGATCATGACAATAGTAGCTTCATTCAAAAGAAGATCTTTCCATCCTCCCTGTAATCCATGTATCGCTTGTACTAATGATTAGTAAGAGCCAAATAATCAATGAAAAGAATCAATCATTTAAAATTTGCCAAACTACTGCAAGAACTAAAAGAAACAAGCAAGAATTGACCTGCCATACGCTTCAGCACTTCACAAAAGTGCTTTCGTAACACTTGCTGGTAAAATATAGCCAAAATAAATAAATAAAGAGTCACTACACGAAAGTTACATACAGAAAGCAACAAAATAATAGAATCAACATAAATTAGGCCTTTCACAAATCAAGTAAATCTCTTTTGCTAGCTTGAAACACAAAGCAGGTTTCCATGATGACACGATAATTATATTACAGGTACCAAAAGACAGGATGGGTACAGAAGAAATGGCAGGGAAGCCCAACCTATGTCAAATCGTGTTAAAAACAACCTGTAGACTCTATTTGCAACTCAAATTTTACAAACTAGCAAAAGCTAGGAGGTGGGGGAAGGAGGGCCGAGAGAAGTTACTGTACACAAAAGCTCTGAGTTATTTTGCTGGCTCTTTCTGCCCTAACGCTGCATTTCCATGGTGCATCATGGCCACAAATTCATTGTAATCTATTCTTCCATCCTGAAAATCAATCATGAAATACCAGTCAGCTTAAAATCCCCGTCATCTTGGAAAATATTGTGAGCTTATTAAGACTTCGTTTGGGATGACTTTCTAATTGCTACATAAAGCAGCTTTTTAGTAAAAAATTTTAATTTTTTACTAGAAAGCTTCTTTAAAAAGTAATAAGAAAGCCGTCCCAAACGAAGCCTAAGATTATGGGAATAAAATGGCTCACATTATCTTGATCTATTTCTCGAATCATTTCTTCAAGATGGACATCTCCTACACCAAACTCCTCACAAGCTTGTTGGAGCTCATCTTGAGTGATGTAGCCACTGCCATCTTTATCAAAATATTGAAATGCTGCGAACAAATTATCTCCCCTCTCAACCTTGTTTAGATGCAATGTTGCAGCTATGAACTCTCCATAATCAATGGTGCCACTATTATCAATATCAGCCTGAAATTGTTGATCAAATAGAATATTAGAAGGTAAGCTACAGTAGACCAAGATTGTCGAATATTGGCAATAGAAATCATTAAGAGAAGTTAAATTAAACAGAGTACAATTTAACCAAGGATTTGGCTAGAGAAAGAGGGATAACCTTCAGGGTGACCCAAAGAAAGACGGCTAAACGACATTGCTAAAGGGATGTCAAATGTCAATCAATAACAACGTTAATATTGGCCGGGCATGTTTCAGAAGGACTTTTGACTTTATTATAGTTTTAAAATGAATGTGATTATAAATAAAAAATTATATCTACTTTCATGAAAAAAAATTCTGCAACGGAACATAGGAAACTCTTGACCAAGAAAGGGGTTAATAATGTTTATATTAAAGTCGTTAAGGATATGTATGCAGGAGCTTTACTTGTGTTAAAACATAAGGTGGTTTGACCAAGTATTTTCTTATTTCAGTTAGATTACATCAAGGATCGGTCTTAAGCACATATCTTTTTGCTTTAGTCATGGATGTTCTCACTAGACATTTGCAAGAGTTTGTACCCTGGTGAATACTTTTTGCTGATAATATTCTTCTTGCTGATAAGACTAGAGAGGGAGATGAAGATAAACTTAAATTATGGAGGTCAATCTTAAAGTCTAAAGGCTTTCGTTTGAGTAGATCTAAAATTGAATACATGGAGTGTAATTTTAGTAATAATAGATCTAGTGAGGGGATTGTGACTTTAGGTGATCAAGTCATTAATAAGAGTACATGTTTTAGATATATGGGGTCTATTGTTTAGAGTGATGGTGAAATAGATGGAGATATTATTAGTAGAATTCAAGTTGGATGGTTGAAGTGGAGGAATGCATCGAGCTTGTTGTGTGATAGAAAAGTCCCTCTCAAATTTAAGAGAAAATTCTATAAGATGGTAGTGAGACCTACAATGCTTTATGGTGCAGAATGCTGAACTTAGCATTAACAAAAAATAGTTAGAAAAAGAAAACTTACAGCTTCCATTAGAGCTAAAATTTCAGATTCCTTGAGAAAAGCGCCAACTCTTTCTAAACCAGACTTGAGTTCCTCATATGTGATTTGGCCACTATTGTCTGTGTCAAGCATCTTGAACATTTCTTTCAAACCAGCGATTTCTTCTTCTGACAAGCTCTCAGCAATAACCTATATAAGTTCAGTTTTCATGTTTAGACCACAAGTGCGCAGGAATGAGATTGAGTAAGTTCATTTAAACTACTGTAGTATTTCGAGAAAGTATCTTATAGAACGGGAAAAAAGAACTAAAGAAATAGAGATCCTCTTATCCAAATAAGCACATTTCTAATTAACCATAAGATGAAAACAAGAACAAATAACGAAGGGATGATTTATCTAGGATTCTATTGCCCTACAAGAAGAACAGTAAAAGAAATTCTTCCAAGATATTAGAAAAGCTACATGATATCTACAAAATAATAAAACCATTCAGGAAAAATGACAACTGACAATAGCTGGGAACAAAAAATCAATAGAACAATAAACTTATGAAAAATAGTCATATGCTGCTTAATGTTTATTTAACATTTCATAAGTACAGATGTATATAGTAATATTTACTCTTTTATCATATCTCGTAGAAAAAATATTCTTCATTAAATTTCCTGTCTTGCAGAAAAAACTATTTTCCATAAACTTGTTTAGAGTTGGCCAGTTGGGTATTGGGTATCTAAGTATAAAAACTTGCAATAGATGGATGCATCTTGGAAGTAAAAACTGCAAATACATAGAAGAAAAATGTAGGAATACAAATATGGGGTTGATTTTTTATTACTTCTTCAACAATAACGAAATACAATTGATCTACTATTCGAGAGATAGATCAGCTCTCCCACAAATCCTACTCGCTGCTAGGAAACTCAAACCAAACACTAGAAAATAAATTCAGCACCTTTCTCCCCTTTACCCTGGACAAAACCCCATCTTAAATAGCCCTCACACACAATAAACACAATTAAATCCTTCCTAAACAGTATAAACACAATTAGAGAACATTCCTAAATAATTAGAACCTTCTTAAACAGTATAAACACAATTAAAAACCTTCCTAAACAACTCCTAATTGATTTCTCCTCCTTACATAATGAATAATAGCTCTCCTGGGTCCCACAAGGGGGAAAAAATCTCCCCCTCTGCTGCCCCTGGTTTTGCTCAACCAAAGGGCTGGTTCGGCCAAGGCTAGGACAATCTGGCTAGGCTGGCCAAATGCAACCCCCCCGGCATATCAATACCCCCCTCCCCCCAAAAGACACACCTTGTCCTAAAGGTGGAAGGATGAGAAGTTTCTCTTGATAATCTCGCATGGCTCCCTGTGGCTTTGTACTCCGGTAAATCATTCCACTTAATTAGTACCTCTTGTGCTCATGTCTCCTCTTAGAGCACCCCTTCTACTCCCAGTGGTTCCAAAATGACCTCCATGTCTTTTGTCAAAGTCAATGGTAATGAAGACGATGTATGATCTCCTATCGCTCATCTTAGTTGTAATGGTAATCCCAGCAGATAAACCACTGCTCCAATGCACTCCAAAACCTCATAACGCCCAAAGTATCGTGGGGCAAATTTCTCATTCCTCCTCCTGACTAGTATCTTATGTCGATAGGGTCTTAGCTTCGAGTAAACTATATCTCCTAGCTTGAAGTGTATTTCTCTCATTTGCTCATCAACCTTTCTCTTCATGATTTGTTGGTCCCTCAACAGATGTCCCTTGAACTCTACTAATATCTTGTCCCTCTCCTCCAAGATCTACAATGGATACTGGTGTAGTGTTTTACCCATTATGTATCAAATGAGGTGGATCTCTCCCATAGAGAATCTTAAAAGGGGTGGTCTATGTTGCTGAACGATACAAAGTGTTGTATCAATACTCGCCCAAGCAATCCATTTTGCCCAACTCTTCAGCATATCCGATATAAAGCATCGCAAATAGGTCTCCACACTCTTGTTGACCACCTCCGTCTAGCCATCTATTTGAGGATGGTATGTCGTGCTCCTCTTCAAGACTATCCCCAATAAATGGAACAACTCTTTCCAGAAATGACTGAGGAACAGCTTATCTCTATCTGACATAATGGATTCTGGAAATCCATATAAGCACACCACCTCCCGTATGAAAGCAGTAACCATAGAGACCTCCAGACTATGCAGCTTCACCAAGTAGGCCAACCCTGCTTCATATATTGCCTTAACCATGGTTTTGATTGAAACCATGATTCTGCACAGGCTGGCATCTCTTTACAGCACCACCCTCCTCCCCTCCACCTAAATCTTCATAGTCAAGGATTTCCAATTGTCCTGATCATCTGTAACCACTTCATCCCTATGATCACATCAGTGCTCCCCAAATTCAAGGAAAGAAAATCCTCCACTATTTGTATGCCCTAGAGTATAAGTACCAACCTTCTGTAAATCCCCCTACTCACTTTCTTCCCTATCCCCATCAAGACTCCAAAGTTCCCTATATCCACCAACTTCAATCTCAACTGGTACATGACTTGATTAGAGATAAAGTTATGAGTAGCCTCGCTATCCACCAAGATCAACACTGGTCGCTCTCTAATCCATCCTCTCACCTTCATGGTGTGATTTAGAGTAAATCTCACTACTGAGTTAAGAGACACTTCTGACACATCAAGATGTAGGTGCTCTCTTCCTGCTTCTGCTTTCTCCTCCAACTCCTCGTTGTCAGTCTCCTCCTCCTCACAAATTATAAGGAACTAGAGTGTGCGGTCCTTGCACCGATGGTCTGGTGCATACTTCTTATCACATCGGAAGCACAAACCCTTCGCTCTCTTGTCCTGCACCTCTGCCTCTGTGAGGCACTTAAAATTGGCCACGGAGTGAACTCCCCCACTCTTCTCCCTAGGTGCCTCCCACTGAAATGACATCGTCTGGATCATCGGTGACTGGGAACTTGGTCCTCTTTAGCTATCTCTGATCATCCGCTATCTAGGCTAGCTCCATCATCTGCCTCAACCCCTTCGGCCTCAACAATTAAAGGTCTAACTATATGTCGAGCTTTAGGCCCTTCATGAAATTTCCCTCCAATACCGCCTCCGAAATTCCCCTTGACTGCCCCAAATGCAACTCAAATCTCTCCCTATAGTCCATGATGGTCCCCTCTTGATTGAAGGCAAATAATTGCTAGTGTAGGTCCCCTTCTTGAATGGCTCAGAAACGCTCTAATAAGCAATCCTTAAACTTTTCCTAAAAGTGGTTTGTATATCTAGCCTCCATCCATTGAAACCAAGCGATGGCTTTCCCCTCCATACATATCCTTACGGTCGTAAGTTTTTCCTCTTCAGTCAACCAATTCATCGCAAAATACCTCTCCACCTGATACACCAACCCATGGGCATCCTCCTCTTTAAATAGCGGCATCTTCAACTTCCTCAACCTAGCATCTCCACTCTAACTTCCTCTCCCTCCAAAGGTTCCCCCTGTACATCGAGGGTGTGAATCTCACCTCTCTTCCATCCTCCTTGCATGACCCAATCCCCATCTCTGATCGTCCACTCCCCTTGCATGAAATGCCTCCCATAGGGGTTGGCCACCATACCACCTCCATCACAAAATTCCCTCATTGTTATCCCCCATCTGAAAACCCTGATTCGCCCCTTATCGAAGCCCTAGGAGGTGGCTCTTGATGAAAGAAACTCTCCTTGTCGAACTCCTCCTGTATGATCTCCTTACCCTTAGATTCAACTAAGAAAATCCCGATCAAATGTTGGTTAGGGTTAGCAACCAGTAGAGTTCTGGATTGAATCTCCATGAGCTTCCTCATCATCTCCTCCAACCCTCCAAATCGGCTCTCCATCTGATTCTCCATGGCTGAAAACCTTTCTTCGATGGTTGAGAAATTGTCCTCCATCAATGCATCCACCTTTGCTTCCATCTCTCCAAAATATCGCTCTGATACCAATTTGAAGAGTCTTGGAAGTAAAAATAGCAAAAAATGCAGGAATATAAATATGGAGGCTGGTTTTTTATTACTTCTTCAATAATAATGAAAGATACAATTGAGTAACTATTCTAGAGGTAGATCAGTTCTCTCACAAACCCTAGCCACCGCTAAGAAACTCACACCAAACCCAAGAAAATAAACTCAGCACCTATCTCCACCTAACCCTAGACAAAAATCCCACTTAAATGTCCTCAAACACAATAAACACAATTAAAACCTTCCTAAATAACGTAAACATAATTAGGAAACATTCCTAAACAATTAAAACCTTCCTAAACAGTATAAAGACAATTATGAAACCTTTCTAAACAGCCCCCCTTGATTCCTCCTCCTTACCTAATGAATAATAGCTCCCCTGGGCCTCAAAAAGGGGGCCGAAATCTCCCCTTCAGTTGCACTTGGTTCCGCCCAACCAAAGGGCTGGTTCAGCTAGTGCTAGGTTGGTCTAGGCTGGCAAGGTGGCCCTCCCTTGGCGTATCATAGACTTGAGATGGAATCGTTTCAAACACGTTGGTATACGTTGGTATGCACTATTAACGCAAGTCTCAAAGTTATTATTTGATGAAAGTGCAAGATATGTATGTTGAGACATGCAAAATGACGTTTGAGTATTTTTCTTAAGTTGTTGATGCTATAGTAGTAGCTTTGATTTTATTTTCAAAAATCTCAATTTTAATTTAATTCCTTTAATCAAGCCTACAATGATGCATACGAGAAAGAAATAATTTCACTAATGATAAGAACCCCTTGTTCTGGTCCAGTTTACCTAGTTTGGTATAGTTTTTTCTAAATTTTCTTCGGTAGGTTGGTTCGGTGATTTGATGGATTGCATCGGTTAGATCACTGGTTTGATGCCTTGGGCCAAGAGCATGATCCTTCTGTTCTCACTATTCCAACTCCATGCTTGACTATATATTTCCGTTGCTCTGATGCGAATCGATTGTAAACCTTTATGCTCGTTGCTCTAGTGTGCAATCATGTAATCATGGTCCTTCAATTTGCGGCCTTATTGTAGGTACTTGCAGCAAAATTCCAGCACAATTTACAAGAAGGTTCCAGGGCAGGGTTATGATATTGGATTACTGAGGCAAGTAAATTTTAATTTTTACTAAATAAAATTCTCCATTTACTCCCAAAATTTGAGTATTAGTTGGATTTAAATTCTTAAAGCACGGTACATATTTTGATTGCCAATTTGCGGGGGAAGCATCTCTTTATGCTGGCAGGAAGGCCTAAATTTCTAAATTTGACAAATTCTTTCCATATTTTTTCTTCTGCAGTTTTTGTAATTCATGTCATTGACTTGCATGTATGATTGGATTTGATTAAAGTTTGGATTGCTAATTGCCTTGTATTTTTTATGACCACGTTGCTTTCATTGATCCTAAATTTCCTAGCTAAATTTCTATTTGACGATAATTAAATTATTGTTTGGGGAATTTTGCAAGTTTTCTGGTTTTCATCATATTTTGTTTAAATTAAAAGATGGTGAATTAAGAATTTTACCTCATGTGTGATTAGGAAACCCTAAATTTAAGAAATCATACATCAACTATGCTACTGTAGTGACTAATGGTGCCTTAGTATGTAGTAGTGTCTAACATTTGCATAGCATGAAAAAAATATTCATTCACTAAAAGAAAAATGCAGGACAGGAAAATTCTGCATGCTCATAGCAAAAAAGGTAAAAACATCCATTGAAATTTTTTTATTCATTAAGAATGTCATGATTATGTATTGGAATGCAAAGCATATAGGTTGTTGTGACCTGCCAAACCAAGATTCTATGGCTGTAGAGCCAAAATACAGTATTGATATTTGATAGTAACTTGTTAGTCTGGATAAGGTAGCTCACCCTAATTGCTATCTTCTTAAGCTTATTTGTTGTTGAAAATTGTTTTAAGCGAGTTAGAACAGCGGAATCAAGAGGCTTATCTGGGGCAACTCCATCAACTTGAGTCCAAGGGTGGCCTGCCAAAAACGAGAAGCAAAACATAAATAAAAATTTCACAATTGAAAATTAATTAGGTCCCTTCATCAATTTTATCTATCAAAAACATTTTTGGGTTGTTTGTTGATCTGAGATGATCTGAGAAATATAATCAAATCGGCAACTTGCCAAAGCTTCAATTAAAACTGGAAAATTCTCTATTATTCCTCTGTTGGACATGGAAACTGCACTTTATTCATGACAGGTAACTTGACAGCGAGGCTGAAAATTCCGAAATATCCAATATATATTAGAAATTTAGTTGTACGATCGTATAACTGTGAATAACATTTTGCTTTTTTCCTCTTACTATTTCAGAAAGCTTAAGAACATTTCTGCTTTTAGAGATAATGGCCTTAAACAACATAATAATGAAAAATGATATGCATGACAAAATCGTTAAACACAGCTACACGGGCTCATCCACCAACGTGAAAACGCACAGATCTTCACTATGAATGCTTCAGTTTGACAAAAAATGAAATGGAGCTTAGAATTTCATGTTTTTGAAGTCCTCACAAGCAATTGTACTATCCTTCAATTACCAATTAAAAAAGGTTTAAGGATTTCTACTATTAGAGTTGATTGCCTGTGACAACATAATTGTCTTAAAAAATGCAAATTCAATCTTAAGGAGCATCGTTAATTAATCAAAAGAGAGATCCACATGCCTTAATTATCTTAAGTATGAAATATAGGCCTTACATAGAACTTCATGGGCAGTTAGACGTTTTTTGACATCCCTCACCAGCATTCTCCTAATTAGATCCTTTGCACTTTCCGAAATTTCAGGCCATGGCTCTGATGAGAAGTCAAGATCGCCTTTCAAAACTTGCTCAAAGATTCCCTGTTCTGTTTCTGCATCGGCCAATAGAAAAAAATCCAAATGAGTTATTAATCTGGAGTGAAGTCATCATAAACAGAAGAATTATACTCAGGAAGAAAGCAATTATGAGGGTTTAGGAATTCAATAAGAACTAATACCATCCCAAAATGGAGGAACACCACTCAATAAAATATAAATCATAACTCCAGCACTCCAGACATCTGATTCTTGTCCATAATGCTTCTGCAACACTTCAGGTGCTACATAGTATGGGCTCCCAACAACATCAGTAAAGGCATCCCCTACAGAAAGAAGGCATCTCATGTTATAGACAATACAAGAAAAAAAGATTATATTCAAATCATTTGTATCAAGTGAAGTAACTGCAACGTGAAGTTAAATGTTAAGGGTACTTAAATATCAACAAGGTCATGAAGTAAACTAAGAGCATTATACCTGGTCATCATAGTATGGTACGCGCATTTTTCACGGCCACAAAACATGTAAGAAACGACATTTTAACACTATATGAATGGCATGTCTGAGATATCAAAGAAAAATAAAAAAACTAATGTAATTTGTAAAGCAGAAGATTGTTCTTTCTCGTCCCTAAGCTATGTCCCAAGGCAAATCTGAATTTTCTTGCTTCTGCTTTTGGAAATGTTGATACTCAAATCCAGACTAAGGATTACAAGAAATTATAATGCACCATTCTAATATATGAAAGAAAGCATATTGATGCTCAAATAAAAAACATATGAAATGGACACGATAGTTTTCATGGCATGTCCAACAAACGTATGGCATGACTTACCATCGCGCATACGTGACAAAATTACTGTTATGAATTAAAATCCAAGATCAACCAACAATGATGGCAAAGTTGTTTTGCATATTTTGAACTGGCCTGTAACGACTAGATGATGGGCACGCTAGAAAATCTATTCAGAGAACTTTAGTGTCATGTACACTAAAATGACAAGTTATACGGCGCCACAACACCTAATACAATTCAAGAAGATCAATAGGTGAAAATCAATGAGGCGTCATTTGTTTTGCTAGTGAGTCTGAGACGCGTGGGGGAATTCCTTTTTCTTCTTTCATCCATCAAATTGTTTGTGAAAGTGTAGGGAAAAAAAAAAATATATATATGAGAGAGAGAGAGAGAGAGAGACATCACCAAAAAATTTCCTTGATCAAATGCAAATCTTGATGAATATCCAAATTAAATTCAAGATCATCTGAACTCTAATTTGGCCAAAATTATAGTCAAATTGAACTTCTTAGTAAGACGAACCCAACAACTCCAAAATCGGTCCAATCCAAGCCCAAATTGGATCAAATATAGAGCTTAAAGAATAACGTGAAGCTTTAGAGCATTATTTGGATGACCAAATGATATCCAAATATAGCATACTCATAATTGAATCGAGCGGCTCGACAAGATGAATCTAACGAGCTCAAGATCATTTAATTCCAACATCATTAAGACAATTAAATGCTAAATGAATGCTCTATGATTGAGGGAATTAATATGAACCGTTTGATGGAGCACTCAAACAATACCATGAACATTCTTCCTATTTACGGAGCATACTACTATCAAAATCTATAAATAAACTCTCACTCTCTACATAAAGGGACTTTTGGGGGCTTGGACTTTGGAGACTTAGACCCTGGGCTAAAGACTCAAGAGTGCTCTGAGACTTAAAGCATCTCGAGCTCCACCTCGACGCCATCGCCGGCGAACCCTCTCCACTAGGCCGCCACTATTGGACCTCTACCCGACCATCACCATCGGACCTCTGCCCGATCATGGACTTCAGACCTTTGTCTAACAGCCATCGTCGAGCCTCCCTCCAACCACCGTCGCTCATAGACTATGGTCCCTTTGACCATTGTTCTCAGTCGAAAATGGTCCCTCCGATCACCATCGCCCATCGACTACAATCCCTCTGACCTCTGTCGCTTGCTAACTACAATCCCTCTGACCTCCGTCGCCCTCCCACTACAGTCCCTACAACTCCCGTCGCCCGACAAATACGGTCCCTCGACCACCATTGCCCGCCGACTACAGTCCTTATGATCTCCATCGCCTACTTACTATGGTCCCTCTTGCCACCATCACCTGGCAACTATGGTCCCTTCAACGCCGGTCTGCTATGATCCATCTGACCTCTATCGCCTGCTGACTATGCTCTCTCGAACCTTTATCACCTAATAATGGTGCTCAAACCTCCCTTGCCCACCAATTGCAGTCTCTTTGACCTTTGTCACCTGACTACTGTCCCTCCACCTTTGTCGCCCATCGATTACAGCCCTTTTGGCCTCCGACCTCTGTTTCCCGCCGACTACGGTCCTAGTGACCTTCTTCACCCTCTCCGACCTTCGTCGCCCTCCGACATCCGTCGCCCTCCGACCTCTATGGCCCACCAACTACGGTCACCCAGACCTTGGCCCTTCGACCTTCATCTTCTGTCAACTACAGTCCCTCCTACCTTCGCCATCCGTCGACTATACGATCCCTTCAACCTCAGTCACCCGATAATGGTCACCTCTCAGTCACCAGATTACGGCCCAACCTCCATCACCCGACTACGATCCTACCAACTAAACAAATAGGCTAACACACTCTTGAGAATATCTCTCATGTCATTGGATTCTCCCAACTCCAACTATGTAATGTGTTATGAGCCAACACCTTCCCCAAAGGAAGGATATCATTTGTAATCAACAACCAACATTAGTGGAATCATTTTAAGTGAATCAGGCCCAGTGGCTTTTCCCCTTTTTAGCAGTTTCTATGTAAAAATTTGTGTGACTTATGAATGTTGTACCCCTTTCTTTTATGTTCTTGTGTGTTAGATCATCGGACAAAGTTAGGACGCTAAACTTTATATCTTTACACCGCGAATATTTCAGCCCACAACATATATAATACCTGAACTCACTCAAACTTAGCTCATTTACACTAATGGATGTAAAAATCGAGTTAGCATAACAAATTAAATCCACATTAAACAACACTAAAAAGGGTTTTTGGGCTTAGTGCGCCATGAGTGCGCGCACGCGTGTGTGAAGTCGTAGGTTCAACTATTCGAATAGCAGCATGAGTGTGTGTGAGCTCATAAGTTCAAATACCTCATGTGTGTTAGTATTATGCTTCAGCATGCAACATCCCCCCCAAAAAATATGGGTTACCGCAGGAGAAGTTTGCCCAAATAAAAAGTCTTTAAAGCATACCAGGCTTAAAAAAGATTGATAGCCCAAAATCAATCATCTTCAGCGGTGACGACTCCATCATGTTGACAAAGAGAAAATTTTCAGGCTTGAGATCCCGGTGCATCACCCCTAACGAATGGCAGGCTTCCACGACCCCAACAATAACCCTAGCAAGCTCTGCCGCAGCTTTCTCCGTGTAATGTCCCTTCTGAATAATCCTATCAAAAAGCTCTCCGCCGGCACACAACTCCATGACAAGATGCACGGCCACAGCATCCTCAAAAGCATCAACAATTGAGATGATATTTGGGTGACCAGACAAGTGGTGCAGGATCTGGATCTCACGGCGGACATCTTCGACATCCTCTGGCGTCAGCAGCTTTCTCTTGGCAATAGACTTGCAAGCGAACTCCTTTCCCGTGGCTTTCTCAATGCAGAGGTAAGTGGTACCGAACTGCCCTTGGCCAAGCTTCCTTCCGATGCTGTATACGTCCTTGAGTTTCCCCGTGCTGCGCTTGAGAACGGAATCCGTCTGGAGACCCGCACTGCGCAATCGTTGAACCAAACTAGGTTTCTTCTTCTCCCTCGATTGTTCTGGGAGTTTGGTTTCCTCCTCCACCGTTGTTGTTGCCTGTGCTGCTTCTGCCCTGGACTTCGACGGCAATTGAGGCGGCGGCGGCGGCTTGATCTCCTCTTCAGGGATTTTGACTGGTTCAGGGGGCTTATGGGCGAATACATCTTTGGACGCCTCGTTGGAAGACGAAGAAGCGGGGACAGGGAGGGATTCGCGTGCTTCATTGAGGCGAGTACGAGAGAATGCGGAAGAGACAGATTGGAAAAAGCCGCGGACGTCGGTGTTCGGACCGACGCAGTTGTTACCCATGCAGAGCCCAAGGCGATCGGGCCCTCAGTTCTTCATCAGTGAACGAGATATTTCTCGGCCTGCGGCATTGCAATCGGAAACCTCAAGAAATGAGATAAACAATGGAGGCGGACAAATGCCGATGGAGCTCGGAAGTGGGAAGGAACTAGGGTTACGGAATTGCTGGCGATCGAGTCGATTGTGCAACGAGAAGCAACGGCAAAAGGGTTGAATCGAGCGAGAGCGGCGCAACAAACTTCTTGCAGCTGACGGAGAATATTCGGATGATGAGTCTGATCGGGACAGCTGATTCGTTTGATGGGGACGGTATAGATTCTTAGCGCGTGCGCGTCCATTTAAGGAAGTGTATAATGTATATATATCAGATATAAATAATCAAATGATGCTCAAGTAGATTTTATAATTTAATATTTTTTTTATAATATAAGTAATTAAAATATTACCCATTCACTTATCACCATTTTTTTAAATCGATTTTTTTTATATTTACAATAGAAAAAGTTCTTTTAAATTATATTGTATTTAATTATTTATCATAAAATAAATTCTAGAACTTTTAATTTATCATTTTTTATTATAATATCTTAACATAATTTTTTTTTGTCATATGAAAGTATAGGAGTATAAATTTTATTTATTTATTTACGCTTCTATTTCAAGGAAAATAAATATTAATAATATAAAAAGGCATAAATTTCCGGAGCACATAGATTTTATATTCCTAAATAGCTAATACTAATATGGTACTTCATTAAATGAAATCATTTGATCAAACATAAATTTCAATATAGTTTTAAAATTAAAATTTTTTTAAATTAAATTAATGGCCATGAATTTCAATTTCATCAAATTTATAGTTGAAGTAAACGCCTCAATGAGATGGTCCTAATTACATCAAAAGTGTTTTGATTAGAATTTAAATGTGTTCAAATCAGACACTTGGAATATAGTTGTAACATTAATTGAATGGACAAATAATCTTTAAATATCTTTGATGAGAGAAATCCAACAAATGTGAGAGCACTCAATTTTGTGATCATTAAGATACTTAAATGCTAACAATATAATTTATAATTGAGAAAATTAATATAGGTAACCTAACGGAGATTTGAATGATAAATTATCATTACACAAATACCATTGTCTAGCCATGATCTCTTGATTATGATTTATAACCACTATCGCCCAATCTTCTTCACCCAATGTTGCCTTCTGATCATCATCATCAATCTTGTTGAATCCATGAATATTCGCGGCGGTAGAGAAATATAAAGTTTAACGTCTTACCTTTGAACGAAGATCCAGCACGCAATAAGATAATAGAGAAGGTGTAACATTCTTAAGAGACCAAAATTTTTACGTGGAAAACTATAAAAAAGGAAAAAATCACGGGGTATGGCCCAGTTTAAATGAATCTATTAGTATTTGTAGTTAATTACAAATTAGGCCCTTCATTGGATGGAAGACATTGGCTTGATGTAAACAAATATACATCATATATAATGTATTACATGGTAGAAATTGGAAGAATCATTATTGATATAATCGTTTGGTCGGAAAGACCATAGTTGACAGACAACAGAGGTTAGAAAGACTGTACTAGGATGTCGGTGGTCAGAAGGATTGTAGTCGGGCGACGGAGGTCGGAAGGCCCGTAATCAACGGAGGAGGTCGAAAGGACCATAATGTGATGCCCCAAAATATAAATTGAAAGAATTATTCTGTTTACTGTTTATTGTTTATTGTTTATGATTTGGAGTTATAATGACTCTAGAAAAAATTTAGCAAAGTCAAAATATGGGCTATTAAAATCTACTCACCTTAAGAAAATATCGTCCCCGACATTTTCCTTAAGGATCTGAGCACAAAAATCAAGATAAATCAAATATTTATAATCAAAAACTCATTGATAAATCATATAGTCATGCAATTCATTATGTCACATATCATTCAATTATGCATGCAAACTAATGCACTTTAATATACCCAATCTACCAAACTCTTAATCAATTTATAAAGCTCTGGTAACAATCAATTCTTCCAACAACTATGCTCTGATACCAATTGTGATGCCCCAGAATCTAAATTGAAAGAATTATTCTATTAATCGTTTACGATTTAGAGTTATAATGACTCCAGGAAAAAATTAGCAAAGTCAAAATATGGACTGTTACATGTAGTCGGCAGGCTAAGGAGGTTGGAAGGACCTTGTTCGCACACGATAGAGGTCAAAAAGATAGTTATATGACGACAGAGGTCAGAATGCTCGTAATCAATGAAGGAGGTCGAAATGACCATAGTTGACAGACGACGGAGGTCAGAAAGACTGTTGTTGGCAGGCGATGAAGGTCGGAAAAATTGTTGTATGGAAGTGGAGGTTGGAAGGATAGTAGTTGATGAAGGAGGTCAGAAGGACCATGGTCAGTTGGCGATGGAGGTCGAAAGTTCGACGATGGGTTGAAGTTCACCTTCAGGCACAAGTTCAACGATGGACGAAAGTCCAGCGTCAGATAGAAGTTCGACGGAAGTCTAGCGATGGGCATAAGTTCAGTGATGGGCGGAAGTCCCACATTTGGTAGAAGTCCGACGAAAGTCCAACGACGGACATAAGTCCGGTGATGGGTGGAAGGTCCAGCATCAGACAAAAGTTCAACGACTCTTAAAAGTCTGATGTCAGTCATAAGTTCGGCGACACGTGAAAGTCCAATGTCAAGTAGAAGTCCGATGAAAGTTCGGGGACTGGCAAAAGTTTAGTGACTGGCGGAAGTCCAACATTTGGTAGAAGTCCGGCGACTGACTGAAGTTCGGCGTTGAGTAGAAGTACGACGAAAGTCCATCAATAGGCATAAATCCGATGTTGGGTAGAAATCCGACAATGGGTGGATGTCTGGTGACGAGTGAAAGTTTAATAAAATAAGACTTCAAATAATCCAAAATTAAATTATGGAAGTTTCAACTTTAAATATTACATCTAAATTTATGTTTGGTCAGATATAATTTTTGATGAGGACTCAATGTTGATATTGTATGCCATTTTTGTTGGTCTTTTATTTATTATGTCATAATTGCTCACTAAATAATAATAAGTGCATTCTTGAATGTTACCATATTATTTTCTTATGAAATGACTACTAATTAACTTCATTGACTCATATTCAGTCACAGATCTTATGAATTTCGGTTTTACATAATACCCACCATCCTTTTATTTATTTATTTATTTTTTTTGTTAAAACTTAGATTTGTTTAAACCCTAAATCATAATAGAAAATAACATCAAACACTTGAATTTTGCAAAAAATAAATAAATAAATAAAAAAAAATAAAAACCCTTGAATTTTGCAAATACATGTTAGATAATCTTCAATTTTTAGCACGCCTAAAATCTATCAAATTTATTTTACAAGATTACTAAGATTTTATTTGTGATAGTTTTTTTATCGCTTTTTAAAAGCAGCTTTTTAGTAAAAAAAAATTGAATTAAAATTTTTTGTACTAAAAAATTGTTTTAGAAAGCAATAAAAAACTATCTCAAACAAGATTAATTATTTTGTGTGGACGTCTAACATCATCCGAAGACTAACCAAAATGCATTATGTCACACTTGTGCTCGTTACCACGGCTCGTTATTGCTCGGTACCGTGGCTCGGTATCACTTACGTGCGCATCTCCGGACGGTGTTCTGCCTCCGATATCCGCACATAATAATTTCACCTCAAGCAAAGCTAAATCCTACCCTAAAAATTATAATTTAAATAAATAATAAGTGTTCTTTAGCTAATTTTCCCTTGCTTTGGGGAAAAAAACTTGTAATTTTTTGAGAATGTTATACTTTGACATGAATTTCTTTCCTCTACATAGAAAATACAAATTTACACTTTTGAGGTAATTGCATAAGAAATTTGTTATTTTTTACTATTATTTTTTAACTTATTTTTAATGAAGCATAAAATTACTGATAACACCCTTAAAAAAATATAGAAAATAAATTGAGACAATGCAATAGCAAAAATTTAATATGAATTAGAAACAAATATCAAATATACTTATTTATAGATGTTCTTTAAGGTAAGACAATTAGTTTGGTTCTAGTAAATGATCTATCAAAAATGGTTCTTAATTGCTTGCCCTTTTTTTTATTATTTTTCATGTTCAGCTCCTATTAATATTTATGTTATAGATATTATGATGGAGATTTTCAATTATTAAATTTAGAGTTTTTTATATTTAGGATTTAATAACTATATCAATATTTGAAGTGGAATTAACGCTGTAGTGGAGTCAAAAAATTTATTCAGTGAGGTCTAAATTCAAATAGTTATGTTTGACGTCTCATTATTGGAGCCAAAATGAGTTGTAAGATTAAATTAAAAATGCAAATAATATGGCCTTTAGAGCTTAAAAGATATAAATATCTGCCACAGGCGGTCTTCGTTTGCAGGCGAGAGAGGAGCGAAAGAGAAAAATGAAAGCGATGCTCGTGGTTGTGAGTCGTGGGCCGTGAAAGAGATGCAAAGGGAAAAACGAAGTAGACCGTTTGGATTGAGGGCTAAAATTACACAAGATTATTTAAATTATTTTTATTTCAACAAATTTAAGTGAATTTCAAATTTAATCATTTTAATATAATTTTAGCTAAAATTTATTCGAGATTCTTTAAAATAAAGTTTCAAATAAAAGTTAAGGATTTCAACTAAAACTTATGTTTTTTTTTTTAATGAGATTTTAATAAAAATATAGAAGAAAATAAAATGTATTGATTACAGAGGACAACACATTTTAAAAAATATATAAATAAATATATATAATGTAATTATATCTATAAAGTTTTACTCTAATAATATATGTATGCAACAAAAGAACAATGAAAAATTAATTACTTGCTTGGTAAGGAAGCCTCCCTTTCCACTTTGCTTGGTCGTGATTGGGTAAAGACCTACATAACGGATTTAGGGTTTAGGGGTCCACGTGTCATGTGTCCTCCCTTGCCGCCCCTCCCTCCGCCCATGAATGAACGGATACAGATTGATCGGATACAGATTTATAATGACAGTCTCCGTGCTTACACAAGTATTAGACCTTTGATTTAGAGAAAATCAAATTCAAATTTAAATACAATTTTGATTTATTCCTAATTTATTATACTTTATACCAAATATAAAAAAAATAAAATCCCTTTTTAATTTTACATCAGTAATAAATACAACTAAACACTCCTTAAATCCCAACAAATCATATTCGTTAAAATCTTGAAACTAAGCAGTCCCTACTAGTTTCTTGTTTTTAAAAGTCCGTGGCGCCTCATCCCGACACGATCCAGGGAGAAGAAAACCCTAATTTCTTCCACGATTCCGTCCGCGAGTCATGGCGGCTTCGTCAGCGGCGGCCACACTTCCTACTTCCTCCACCTCCGTTCCCCCGAATCCTGAAACCCTAAACCAAGCCAATGATCCGTTGCCGTCCACTGACTCCTCCCAACCATCAAACCTACCACAAACGGACGGAAACTCCTCGCATTCAGACTTCCCATCTAATGCCGAGGAAGACCTAGTTGTCATCGATGAAAGTGTATCGATGGAAGAAGACGAAGAAGTGGAGGGCGAGGAGCAGGAGGAGTGCGGGTTTTGCCTTTTCATGAAAGGAGGTGGCTGCAAGGAGCCATTTATCGCATGGGAGAAGTGCGTAGAGGAGGCGGAGAAGACTGGCGAAAATGTGGTGAATAAGTGCATGGATGTTACGTCTCTCCTAAAGAAATGTATGGACGAACACGCCGACTACTACGAGCCCATCCTTAGGGCCGAGAGAGAGATGGCGGATGCCATCTCCGAGGCTGAGACTGAAAAGGAGCTAATTAAGGGAGGAGATGCATAGTTCTTCTTCAAATACTCATACTTGATTTCTGATTCTTCCGAGGTGTACAGGGGATTCCTCCTGTTGTTCTTGTATCTTGTGGCTACCTTTAACACAGTTTTGGATTTCGGCAATAACATGATACTTATGAGGTATTGAATTCTGTAAAAGATATTTTTTGAATAGCATACACATTTTATTGCAGAGATAAATCAGTTCTTTGTTTGATCAAAGTCTTATTCTATAAATTTGTTTTTTAGATTTTATTTTTCACCTGTTTTGGTGCTAAATATTAATGTATTTGGAATCATACTGTCATTTGATTTTTAGCTTCTTGTTATTTATACAGCTGCTGTAATATTGATTTGGATTAGTGATCGGTGACAGCGAAAATAATTTTATGGCAGTCTACATTGGAACACTATGGAAGCTTTTGCTTGATGCGTTCATTCCGAACAATCAAGCAAAAAAAAAAAAGCTCAAAATTAGCTAGGTACTGGAACATGTAACGCTCTTCGTACCGTTGCCCTGTATGAAATTTAGAATTGCCTCAAACAGGGCATGATTTTTCAGTCAATGTTGTTGAATGGAGTTATTCACTTTATTAGTTGGGCCTTAAAATAAAAGTAAAATGCACGTTCAATAAGTGATCATAGCCAATAATTTATTCCAAAATTTAAGTGGATTCTACATTTTAATTTAGATGTAACGTAAATATTAGATTTTTCTTTAGCTTATGATTTTGTAATTGCTAATATCTTATTTAAGAAAAAAAATGAGCATCTCATCACTTATAAGAATGAATATAGTAAAATTCATATTGATTATTTTCTTATAAGAAAAATAGATTGTTTAGATTGCAAAAATTGTAAAGTTATTCCGAGTGAATGTTTATATATCCAACATCGTTTATTTGTTTTGAACTTTAAGATGAAGGAGCAGAACATTAAAAAAAATAAAGTAAAAAGTTGTTCTAGGATTAGATTGGGACATTTAAAGAATATTAACAAAAATATTTTTTTAAGTAAGATATTAAATCTTAAGATTTTGTTTATTCATGAAGAAGCTAATGTTAGGTGGAAAAAAGTAACTAGTGATATTAAAAATGTTGCGAAAGATATGCTTGGAGTATCAAAGGGAAAAGCTTCTAATAGTAAATATAGTTAGTGGTGGAATCAGAATGTGTAAGAAAAGATGAAAAATAGAAAGATTTGTTATAAAAATTGGTTTAGATGTAAATTTTTTTATTATTGAGAAAGATATAAAGAGGCTCGTAAGAAATCTAAGAAAACAATATGCGATACAATGATTTTAGCTTTTAATAATTTATATAGGAAATTAAATACTAAGGAGGGCGAAAGATATATGTATAAGTTAGCCAAACAAAGAGAAAAGTGTAGTAAGGATTTAGTTCAAGTGAAGTATATTAAGGATGAAGATAAAAAAATATTTTTATTAGAGGAGGATATTCAACAAAGGTGAATGAGATACTTTTATGAACTTTTCAATGAAGATTATGAGAATGCTTGTCTCATGGGAGATTATTTTGTGCGGACACTGGACGGGAAGAACCATCGGTTTTGTCTCTGTGAATAGTAAAAGCGTAGTCAAAGCACAGTATTGTTCATCACTGCGCTTTGATTGCACTTTGACTGCGCCTTTACTGTTCACAGAGACAAAACCGGATGGTTCTTCCCGTCCGGTGTCGGCACAAAATAAAAAATCGTTTTACACATGTCCCGGCATAGCATTTGCAGTGAGCAGTGTTAGGCAATTCATGCATTCAACAGGGAAAGAGCAATTCAATGCTGCATACAAAATCCTATAGTAGCCAGAAGGATCTCTTGATAAAGTTTACTGTTTAAAAAACAAGGGCTTCTTTAAGTGGAAGTTATATAGATGGTGATTGGGCTGGAAGCATCATTGACCTAGAATCCACCTTTTGCAACTGCTCTTTTGTTTGAGGAAATTTGGTTACCTTGCGGTGCGAAAAAGTAGAATGTAGTGGTTATTACTGGTGCGAAAACTTAGATCATTGACTCATGAATTTACGAAGCTTTATGGATTAAAATATTAATTAGAGTTAAAAATTTCGAGGACGCCACCACTAAAAGTATATTGTGCTAGCAAGGAAACAAATGAAATTGCTCATAACCTGTGTTCTCCATTGGGAAGCTTAACATGTTAAAGTAACAGTTTGACTATTTAGCAAGCAAGCTGGCCATGGAAGTTCTTCAACTAATTTGAGCAATTTGAGTGGGAGTGTTGGAAAAAAGGGAGAATTTCAGCGGAATCAATTCTCCCATAATCTGGCCTGTCCTTGTGGTGTTATTGCTTATTAGTTCTAACTGAAATTTTGGAGAAATCAATTCTCCTAGTCTGTCCTTGTGCAGCATTGTTATTTGCTAAATCAACCTTCTGTAACTCATATCTGGAAGGAAATAATAAATCAGCCATCTTGAGGCCGTTTCATGCTATTGGAAATTTTGCATATCTTCCTATTAAAGCTACGCTATCTAGAATTCGAAGGCTGAAAGACTCATATTTAGAATCAGAATTTCTACTCAAATATTTCCTTTCTTGTGTATTTCATTTCCCATCAAGTAAAGATGCTGTAAATATTGTTTGTGGTGCATAAAAAATAGCTTTGTTCACTCGTTTTCAGAATTATAGAGAGAAATTAATTTGATTGTAATCTCACGTCTAGAACGTTCCCTTTGGGATTTCCGCAACCATAGATCTAAATAGAAAATATTGAGCTTCCTGCAAATTCAGTGTTCAAAAGGTATTTCTTCAATGAGATGTGTGAAGGTTTCTTATAACTAGTTGTGTTTCCCAAGTGTTCAAATGGAAATGTTGGAGTCAAAATGACTGTGTTGCAGCTCATAACTAAATCTAGGTAACCGGCCTTTAGAATTTTCAAATGTAACGCTCAATTTTGAAGTTACAACCGTCAAACGCGATGGTTTCATATTTTCATTGCAGGCCATCTTTAGAAAGTAGATGCTTGTCCTTCAGAATTCTACTTAACATCCAATCCTAAGTTTGATACTAAACTTTAGAGCTGCTATTGTGTGCAGAATAAACGAAGAAAAAGTAACCCTAAAACTGTGTTTTATGCATGTTTTATGCATGTGATTCAATCTCTCAATAGCATCAAACCTAATTTCTTCTTAACAGGTCTATGACTAAATGCTTGTTCTAGTTTAATGGATATGGTGTTAATATTGACAAGCTAGTGACATGGAGGTTCAAGTGATACTTATGAAAAGTGTTGATTTTTGAGATTTATCAAAGATAAATTAATATATATGAGAATTGATATAAATTTGAAGTAGGGTGAGAGGAAATGATTGTGTTTGCATACAGAAGAAATGAATGGATGTGAGTAGTTTAATGAATTTGAAGTACAGTGGGAAGAAATGTTGTGTTGTAATTTTCTCCTCCTAAGAGTAGAATGGGCATTCTCCTCAGCATTTACCATTTCATAAATTATTAAAACTCAAGATCATATGATTCATATCATTGATTGTGATTATATGTGTGCAGGACTTTTGTCCACCTAGAAGGAAAATGACTAATTGTCCTCATAAGTTTTTTTTTTTTTTTCATCCATTGCCTTTTATATAATATTCAAACTCAAGATTAGATCATTCATTGTGATCTATAACATAAAAGTTATATATGGATCAAGTTTCATCAATTTTGCTGATGATTTCACCTATTAAAATCATTTAATATTTGTATGATATCATTAAGAACCCATGTATTTAACTTAAACCCTTTGAAAGTCTTTAATTTTATAACCATAATGTAATCACAGCCATACATTGTTAAATTTTTGTTGCATCCAATTGAATGATATGAGTTATTTCTTAAAAACAATTGACAATTACAAAAATATAATTTTGTTTCCTAGATATTCATGTAATCATATAACAAAGTCAATGTTCACACTTTTGTAAAATTTATATGGAATAGGTAACAATGTACGAATTCAAGTTTTATGTTTCTATCATTATGTGTCGTGTTTTATATTGTGACATTATTAGTGTAGCATCCTATTTTAAACTAGACCAATATCACTTACCTTCATTTATGGGCACAATCTTATATTGATTGAAATGCCTTATAGCTAAGATAAGGAAATCTTACAAAGTCAATTAAGGATGTAAAGTTGAGGCCCTCTAAAAATAAGTCATCTTTAATCGTGAAATTATATCAAGCACAAGCGAGACATCAATTATATATATATATATGGGTGCAATTCAACTTTTAACTTCACGCGTTCAATGGTTGATTTATTAACAAGTATACAACTTTAGTAGAATTCAAGTTGTATGGTTGAAGTGGAGGAATGCTTTGGATTTGTTGTGTGATGGAAAAGTGTACCACTCAATCTTAAGGGAATATTTTATAAGATGGTGGTGAGACCTGCAATATTTTATTGCGCGAAATGTTGGCCATTAAAAGATGAGCATAATATTAAGTTAAGTGTTGCTGAGATGTGGATGCTCAGGTGGATGAGTGGACTTACTCTTACAGATAGAATACAAAATGAGAATAACCGGGAAAAGGTTGGAGTAGTTCCAGTGACATATAAGATTAGAGAGAGTCTCCTTAGATGGTTTGATCATGTAAGACGTTGGCCTTCCGATGACCATGTTAGGAGAGTAGATGTATTAGATGTGGCTTATGTTAAAAAAAGTAGAGGTAAACCTAAAAAGACTTGGTTAAAAAATATTAGAAATGACATTTCTTTATTAGATTTAAATGATTATTTGACTCTTAATAAGACACAATGGAGAAAAAGGATTCATGTAGCCAACCATACGTAGTGGGATAAAAGATTGATGTTATTGTTGTATGCAACTTTCACTATCAATGATGCTTAGAGTTTTTCATCATGTTTATATTATATATATTGTTGAATGCGATGCATGTTGAAATTATATATATATTGTTGTATGCTTAGAGTTTTTCAAACATATATATATATATATTGAAGCAAGAATAAGGGTAAAAATTGACCACATGAATAACCATGCATCGCATTCATATAAAGAGACTCGCCCTTGCCCTTGGAAGTAACCATGCATCACATTCATATCAATAAACTTGCGCACAAGAATTGAGTAGAATTTTTGAAAACATAGGAGAGGATTTCTAAATTTTCTTATTCTATCTGGGACAGGAGAGTTATAATATTTATACGAGAGATATAATCCAGCTAGTAGGACTAGAATAGAAGGACAAAGCAGGAATG